GGGACAGTACCCACACCCTTAGTGGTGGGGTTGGGGGCTGCGTGTGAGGTGGCACAGCAAGAGATGGAGGTATGGGAATAGCAGTTCCCTTCTATAACTTCTCCTTTGTGGGTCTCCTATTTAGAAACTTCTCAGCATAACTGAGGCAGATCACTGCTAGAAGAGGAGGTTTAAGAAAACCTTTCCAGCCAGACGTGGTGGCTCAAGCCTATAATCCTAGCACTTTGGGAGGCTGAGGTGAAAGGGTTGCCTGAGCCCACGGGTTTGAGACCAGCCTGGGCAACTTGGTGAGACCCCATCTCTACAATAAAATTTTAAAAATTAGCCACTCCTGGTGGTATGTGCCTATACTTCTAGCTACTTGGAAGGTTGAGGTAGAATGATCACTTGAACCCAGCAGGTCAAGGCTGTGGTACTCCAGCCTGGGTGACAGTGTGAGACTCTGACTCAAAAAAAAGAAAGAAAGAAAACTTTTCCTTGCCCTTGTACTGCTAGTACCTCGTTCTGGGGAAAGCATTATGGGCTTCATAGCCCATGCCCTTTTAGTAGTTATAAGCTCACTTATTTCTGGGTTGTTGAAACTCTGTGGCCAATTATTACGTACCTTCTGTCTAGAAGGTACAGTGGTATCCATGGGTAACATGGGATGATAGGTGGGTTTCATGTATGTTCACTCTTGGTATAGGAGAAGGGCTCCTTAAAATATATGTTTCAGCCGGGCTCGGTGGCCCAGCCTGTAATCCCGCGCCTTTGGGAGGCTGACATGAGTGGATTGCCAGAGCCCGCGGGTTCGAGACCTGCCTGGGCAGCGAGACGTCATCTCTACAATAAATCAAAAAATTAGCCGGGCGTGGTAGCACACGCCTGCATTTCCAGCTACTCGGAAGGCGGAGGCGGAAGAATTGCTGGAGCCCAGCAGCTCGAGGCTGTGGTGGCCGGAAGCGGCCACTGCACTCCAGTCTGGGCGATAGAGTGAAACTCCAACTCAAAAAAAAAAAAAAATATGTGTTTCTGCCGGGCTTGGTGGCTCAGCCTGTAATCCTGTGCCTTGGGAGCCTGAGGTGAGTGGATTGCCTGAGCCCACGGGTTTGAGACCCTCCTGGGCAACTTGGTGAGACCTCATCTCTACAATAAATAAAAAATCAGCCGGGCATGGTAGCGTGCGCCTGTAGTTCCAGCTACTTGGAAGGCTGAGTTGGAAGGATCGCTGGAGGCCCAGCAGGTCGAGGCTGCCGTGGCCAGAAGCGGCCACTGCACTCCAGTCTGGGCGACAGAGTGAGACTCCAACACACACACACACACACACACACACACAAATATGTGTTTCTGAGCTGTTTAAGGGTCACTATACTTAATTTTCCCTTGCCTGCTCCTTAGTATGACCATAAGCGGATCTCAAAGTTAGCAGAGCGGCTGATACAGAAAATAATGAAGAGCCTTCCAGATGTGGTGATGAATGGGGACCCTAAGCACCACTACCCTGGTATGGAACTTGCCCTGTCTATCGCCATTCTAGAAGAGGCTGACACTCTGAGACCTCTCTCATAGTGTTTCTTTCCCTCAGGCTGTATCAATCTCTCATTTGCCTATGTGGAAGGAGAAAGTCTGCTGATGGCACTGAAGGATGTCGCCTTATCCTCGGGGAGGTAAGTTGTACAAGATGGACAGAGACTGTGGCAGGGCTCATAAACTTGCATTCTAAGTGCTGCACAGGTTATAAAGCTTCTCAGTGTGGACGTGGCAGGCACAAGAGCTCTTGATTAAGGGCAAAGGTCATTTTGTACGTTCCTATATTTTGGCTGGCTGGGCATTGGCTGAAGTTTATCACCCTGGGAGGACTTCCTGGGGTAAGATTATGTGTCTTTTGTGGTGCCCAGGGGATGTATGCATCTTTTCTGGAGTTACCAGAAGTTCTGTTGCAGGCCTGCAGGATTGCAGATGCTCCAAAGGCTGCCAAAGGTTTAACTGCCCTGGCTGGTACAGATGGTATATTTTGTCCTGGGGATGCGAGCACATGGTTCTCTGCTGCCTCTTTTTGTCAAGTCCAGCTTAGGTGGTATCATTCTCTGTCACACTTTGGCACTTTGACTGAGGAGGCCACCTGCCTAAGGAGGCCACCTGCCGTAGGGGACACAGGAGCTAGGTTCACATCCAGGATACGCAGAGCAGCATTAGGCCATTTATCTCACCAAATTAGAAAACCCCCTTTGTCTCTATGTTATGACTCCAGGGCCCTGGGGCATGGAAACAAGACTGACAGTTTGTGGTTAAAAGCAGCCATTGATGCCGGGTGTGGCAGCTGATGCCTGTAATCCCAGCACTTTGGGAAGCAGAGGTGAGGGTATTGTCTGAGCCCAAGGGTTCAAGACCAGCTTGGGCAACTTAGTGAGACTTCATCTCTACAATAAATAAAAAAATTAGCCAGGAGTGGTGGTACATGCCTGTAGTTCCTGCTGCTTGGAAGATTTAGGTGGAAGGATTGCCTGAACCCAGCAGGTCAAGGCTGCGGTGGCTGTGAGCATGCCACTGCACTCCATCCTGGGCAACAGAATAAGACCCTGACTCAAAACAACAACAACAAAAAGTAGACATTGATGAACTGAGCAAGGCTGTGTCTCTCTCCTCAGTGCCTGCACCTCTGCGTCCTTGGAGCCCTCTTATGTCCTTAGAGCAATTGGCACTGATGAGGATTTAGCACATTCTTCCATCAGGTCAGTGAGCTGAGCTGCAATCTTTATGAAATGAATTCTCTTACATGTTTCATTTCCTATTAAAGTCTTTCTCAGCCAGGTTTGGTGACTCAACCTGTAATCCTGCTTTGGGAAGCTGAGGTGAATGGATTGCCTGAGCCCGCGGGTTTGAGACCCACCTGGGCAACTTGGCAAGACCTCATCTCTACAATAAATAAAAAATTAGCCGGGCGTGGTAGCACAGGCCTGTAGTTACAGCTACTTGGTAAGGCTGAGGCAGAAGGATCGCCGGAGCCCAGCAGGTCGAGGCTGCGGTGGCAGGGAGTGTGCCACTGCACTCCAGTCTGGGTGACAGAGTGAGACTCCACAAAAAAAAAAAAAAAAAAAAAGTCTTTCTCAATCTAGTTTACCTCATCCCTTCTTGAATCTGTGTGAAATCTTCAAGAGCAGTGGTTCTATGACTTCATTGAGTATCACCTGAGAATTGTGACATATGATGATTTTTGAGTACCACACTCAGATATTCTGATTCATTAGGTCTGGAGGAGGAGTAGAAAATTAATCAGGTGTTTCTAATGTGGGTGGTTCACAGACCATGTTTTGAAAACTGCCTTGGAAGGGAAAGACTGTATTTTTTTCTCCATATCTTTGGTGTGGTGGATCCTCAGTGAGTGTTAAATGAGTATGCTCCGTAGCTCTGATGCAGAACTCTTCTGTACCTCACTCAGGTTTGGCGTCGGCCGCTTCACTACAGAGGAGGAAGTGGACTATACAGTGGAGAAATGCATTCAGCATGTGAAGCGTCTCCGAGAAATGAGGTATGCACTATTGTATCAGAGACCCTTTGGAAGAAACTGTAGTGCTGTCTCCTCTCTTGACCTTAGGCTGAGGCGGGGATTGCCTGAGCCCAGCAGGTCAAAGCTATGGTGGCTGTGAGTGTGCCACTGCACTCCAGCCTGGGAAACAGAGGAGACCCTGACTTAAAAAAACCAAAAACCAAAAAACAGACACTGAAGATGAACTGAGCAAGACAATGTCTCTCTCCTCAGTGCCTGTTCCCTCTTATGTCCTTAATGTATTCACATTGCCAAAATCTAAAGTATGAAAGTACTTGCATTTTATGATTTAGAGATTCCACAAAGCAAGAAAGTGAGTCTCCTCGGCTACTTATTTTCAGAATATGAGAAAGTGTTTTTATTTTTATTTTTATTTTTATTTTTGAGTTGGAGTCTCACTCTGTCGCCCAGACT